CGCCCGAAGCCCCAGCCAGAGCAGCCCTTGGCGGCGCCGCTCAGCAGCAGCAGGTCGCCGGTGGGGAGGATGAGCAAGCTAGGCATGAACTGCAACAGCTGCACGATCTGTTGGATCAGACAGTACTTACTGAAGAACCGGACACTCGACTCTCTCCATTCAGTAAAGGACCAGCAAAGCTGGACACTTCGCGGCAATATACAGGCTGCTGAAAGCTCGAGGAGAGCCCACTGACCCATCCGCCATCTTCATCTGGAAGAACGCGGCCCCCCACGAGTTCAGATGTTTGTTTGGCTCCTTGTCAAGGGGAGAATAGAGTGCAACTCAAATCTATACCACAAGCATGTCGTCGATTCTCCAATCTGCACTATCTGCGGTTCAGCAGAAGAAACGCTGGATCACATCATCTTCCGGTGCGCTTTCGCGACACATTTATGGTTGGCCATTGGACTACAACCGGGTTCCGACATCTCAGCTAAAACCTTGCACTGCAATCTGAATATCAATGGAGTCCCCAACGCTCAGTACAACGCCTTTGCTGCATTATGCTGTTGGCAAGTATGGAAACGGAGGAATGGCCTCATCTTCCGCAATGAACCTCAAACCTTGAGACAGCTGATCATGTCATGTAAGACTGAAGCGATCCAGTGGCATGCAAGGATGCCGAAGCGGGGCAAAACGGCCGTGTACGAATGGTGTAGATTGCTTGATCAAGCAACAGCTAGACAAAACTAATTCTGTTGTATTTGGCCACTGTCCAGTCTACCCACAAAAAATCACTATCATTCATTCAAAATCACTTACTCTCCAAGCGTAAGGCCCATGATCAATAAATCCCCCCACCCCCCACCCCTAGAACTTAAAAAAAAAACAATTACACAATAAGCTACCACTTCCTCTCTGTTTTAAATTGTAAGTTGTTTTAGGTTTTTTAGATATATAATTTTTTCTATGTACCTAGATATACACTACACCTAGATATGGTTTTGAATTCTGAGTTGATTTCGGTTGTCGGACATCAACACAATTGCCATGGGAGGATCCATTTGCTCATACTGGCGCAGACACTAAAAAATTGATAAAACACTAAGGAGGTGTTTCAACGGCATCATCATTTATTTCTGGGAAAGAGAGGAACAAAAGAACCTTCCAACAAAAAAAGAGTTCCAACCTTAGCAAGTAGCCTCTTTCTGCAAGGATGACATACAATAGTTTCACTTGGCACTACAACAAATGCTCCCACGGAGTCTTTTAAAGTTGTCTTCATAGGTTTTTGGTTGCGTTTAGTCATTGTTTTGTGCCATTCCTCTTGGATTTTTTTTTGGAGAGATCCTTTTTCTATCCTTTTTTGACCTGGTCGTGCCATTTTTTTTTTTTTTTTCTCGGTAGTTGCAGACCCCAGGGTACTGTAGTTGTGCATCTGTAATTCTGTTTTTGCTCCTTTTTACCATCTAATAAAACCGTGGCAAAACTTTGCCGTCTCTTCTAAAAAACCATGTCTATATATATAGTAAAATCTATCTATCTAACAAAATCAGAGAAACTTTTTTTTTTGAGACGACGTCTTTCGACGCGTATTTCATTAAGCAGAAAGAGAGTTTTAAGCGAAACAACAAACAAACTCGGTAATACTCTGATTACCAAGGCCAACACACATGCACCCATCGGACAACACAGGGTACTACATGATTGAACTAAATTTAAGAACTCCACGGGATCTTGCGGCTGGCGCCCGAGACGAAGGATGCCGAGTCGCTGCTGTACCCAGCCATTCGTCAGTCCTCCGCGACGAGGCGAATGTCCACGGCGAGCTCCCTCGCTGTACGTGTACTGCCATCGAAGGTCCTCGCGTTCCTTTGTTTCCAGAGCATCCAACCGATCAAGAACACGATGGAGTCAAACCCGCGCCTGAAGTGCTTGTCGACGCGCTTCCTATTGGACAGCCACCACTCCATAAATGGCTACGGGCGAACAACCACATTAGGCAAGTGAAGCCAGTCCATCCAGGTCGCCCAGACCTCGCGGTTGTACGCACAGCCCAGCAAGATGTGATCAATTGTCTCTGGCTCCTGGTCGCAGGTGATGCAAGCATCCGTTGGTTGAAGGCCATGGCGGTAACGACGCTCGCTGGTCCAGCATCTATCCTGCAAAGCCAGCCAATAGAAGAAGCGGACACGGGGCGGCGTAGCCGTCTTCCACAACTGTGCAGCGCCTCTGACCGGCGTTATAGTGGAGGAAGTACAAAAATAAGAATAAGCAACCTACCCTAAGCATCTCAATATCTCATCTACCAAAAAATAGTAGATGGTCTAACCAGAAAACGGACAAAGAAACATCCAGCGTGTGAGAAGATGTGAGGAAAAAAACTTCTGGAAAATTCGACGTCCTGCATGACGAGGGCGCAGCTGGTGGTTTCATACTTTCATAGAACCACCTCTCTAAAAATACACTTGATAAATCAATAGGTATTTCAAACAGCAATGCAAAAGAATGTAAAGAAAGAGAAAACATATATTTCTCGTAATTTACTTATAGAAACAGAAAGGGACAACTTTGTCGGGCTCCCTCTTCTTTCACACCCTGACTTTGGTACACCGTCGTCGTTACAAGCACACACGCGTGTAGGGTTTCTATCCTTTTCTCACATTAGATAAGTGGAGAGGGCTTCCATATTTAAAGATGACATCATCCAATTCAACTAGTAAGGTGAGACTAAAGTTCCACTGCTATCTCCAAATGCACACATGAATAACATTTTAGATTTATTTAGAATAATAATTAGATTTTTTTTATTTGGGCTAAAGCCCATTTATTTATTCCAACACGTTTGATATATACTCTATCAATCATAAGTTCACTTGAACCAGTAGCGGAGATAACGCTGCTCCTAGTCAATGCCTCGCGTTTGTCGCTGTCATCGCGGAGTACCTGCCTATCTAAGGCTGTGTTTAGTTCAAAAAGATTTCTAAAAAGAAGCCATCACATTGAATCTTGCGATACGTGTATGAAACATTAAATATAGACGAAAAAAAACTAATTGCACAGTTTGGTTGGAAATCACAAGAAAAACGTTTTGAGCCTAATTAGTCTATGATTAAACACTAATTATCAAATAAAAACGAAAGTGCTAAACACAGCCTAACATTAACGTTTTGTCAGGATCGCCTCGTCTTGTGCAAGACTGCAAGCCATTGAATCCTTCCTCAGTTCCTCTCCATTTCTATCCATACCGTGACAATGATCAATGATATCTATATATCATGCATCCGCAGCGTGCGGTGCTAGCATGGTCCGATACAATAAATGCGGCTATCGGACCGAGTCCTATACATTACGGCGTCGATTCGATGGAGACCCCGCGTCTTTGTATCGAACCGGGTTCAAAGCTTCGCCCCTTCCTCTCTCTTCTACCGTTGCTGCTCCCGCCACCAAGATGAAATCGAGGACCGTGCGGAGGGGCTGTGCGGGAGGAAGAAACGGTTGAGGCATGACGACTTTTCCTCATGCGGGTCCCATCTATCGATCCAGTGCTCGGTTCTACCCATTGCGGACTAGTTAACAGATGCAGTAATGTCGTTCCTGTACCGAGCCCGGTTCGATACACCACAGCTGCTCTAAGCCTCACCAACTACGAACAAAATATATGCAGCTAATGTACGCCACAGGACGTGTGGCAAACCAGAGTTTTGACGGTGCAGACTCCAGTTACCTTTTTACCTGGCTCTACTGCCAACGGCAAGAAACAGCCATATATGGAAAGACCAATTCGGCTGCAGGTGACGCGGACCTCGCCCCAAGTCAACAAGCGAATGCGCGATGCGCTGTACCTGCACACTAGTGCTCGTGAGCCGTGACGCGCCCCGTAGCAGAGTGCAGGCCTCGGCGCCTCGCGGTCTTGACCGTGCCACCGCGCGGCGCGCCTGCCGAAACCGACGACTTGCTCAGCGGGGACCCAGCCGCAACGGCTATAGCCCATATCCTCCGGCCGTTTCCTCCCGCGCGCGCGTGCGGCGCGCCGAGGCGCAGGCGTGGGGTGCCGCGTTCGGCCTCGGCGCGGCCTCTGGCGCCGCAAACCTCTGGCGCCGCAAACCCTGCTCAAAATCGAAATCGATGGGCTTTCGAGTCCATCTCATCCACAAGGTCGCCGTCGTCGCGGCGTTAGTCACGGGACAAGTTTCCGGTGAGCGGCCGGGGTGGGTTTTGCTTTTGCGCTTGCACGCCGCGGGGTCTTTGTTTCGGGCAAGCTGCGACTGCGACTGCGACGCGATGCAACGCAGACTCTGGACTAATTTCTGGTTCGTACGCACTCAGGTTCACGTGGCTGACTTGCCGGCCGGCGCTCCAGTACCGCCGCGGCTGCGATTTTCTAAAAACGCTACGCGTTCGTGGCGGCGCGCCACGACAAGGAGGTACGTGCCAGTGCGGACGGACACGACGATAGCGGTGGGCTCTGGGCTCCGTCCCTCGGGTGGCGTTCTTTATTCCCCAGCCCCAGTTATTGAACGCTTCGTTGACGAAACTGTGACGCTGCCTGCAACTGCAACGAGCAACGGGACTATGCCGGTTTCGCTCTAGTCGTTAATCTCAATCAAGCAAGCAGTCCCCATTTTTTGTCACTGGAAACAAAGAAAAGTGTGTGTTATTTGCTCCTCCAACTACTACTGCCACGAAGCAACCCCCGGTCCTTCCCTCGTCATCGTCTTCCTCTTCGTTTCGTTCACACTGTAAGCTCTCTGCCCTTCCTCTCCTCAATCATGTTCTTCGATCCGTTGTCGTCGGTGACGCGATGCAATCAATCATGCAGCTGTTTGAATTCCCCAACACCTCTTATCCAGTGTTCTACTAGTATCTCTCTGCTTCAAAACATGCAGCGCCCTGACGACGCCGATGATTCTGCCATGTGCAGATCATATCCCTTTTTTTTCTCAGGGGAGGGCACGCAGCGCGTAGAGGCTACCTGATCATCTGATGCGACCGATCTTTGGGCGCGCCGACGAACGATGGACGCGTCGAGTTCTCTCCTGCTGGTCCTGTTGACTCTCCATTCTGTCATGATCGCCGCCGCGGATCTGCCGGCGGCGCAGCCGAGCCATCGGAGGCTACTACTTCAGCAGGACACCAATCGTGCCGCGCTGCCTCTGCCTGCAAAGGTTCATGCCGTCCCAGTCGACGCTCATGCCCCCGCTCATGGGACCGGCTCTTTTCCGGCGGCGTCTACCGGTCCACAAGGGAGGGATGGTCCGAGCGAGGCGGCGCCAACGACGCCGGCGGCTTATTTGTCGAGATCCATGAGGTGGCTGTACATGGTTGTTCTTCCGGCGGTTGCCCTGCTGTCGCTTGCTGGACTAGCGTGCTGGCTTCTGTGTCGTAAGAGTGCAGTTGCGACCATTGGCCCTTGGAAGACCGGACTCAGTGGCCAGTTGCAGAAAGCATTTGTTACAGGTATATACTGCTATAGGATTGGAGTGCTATATTTGCTACTATTACATCCTTTTTTAAAAAAAGGTGGTTCATATATGTGCTCTACTTGGAAGAAAAAAAGAGGGTGGAAGATTCACATGATACTTTCTGTCTGAAAAAAAAAAAAAGTGCATCTCTGTACTACTTGGAAGAAAAAAAAAGAGGGTGGAAGATTCACATGATACTTTGCTGTCTGAATTGCTCAGATATCTAGTACAACTTATGCTGCTGCCTGTTGCAGCTAACTCTGCTGATTCTCATGTGCTTCATCAGGAGTACCAAAGTTGCAGCGGTCAGAGCTGGAATTTATTTTTTTGTGAGGACTTCAGCAACATGATGTGGCAAAATTTTACCTAACACTACACCGTACAACTTATACAAGGGAACTTCATCAGGAGTACCAAAGTTGCAACTGAGCTGTTGAGATCGCAAGTGGTTGTCCACTATGACCGTCTACAAGGGAACTTTGTCAACTGGTGTTGAGATCGCAGTGGTGTCCACTATGATTACATCGAGCAAGGAGTGGTCAGAGCATTCAGAGAGCTGTTTCAGGAGAAAGGTTATCATCAGAATCTGGCCCGTTTATTTTTATATATGTCAACAACTCATCCATTTGAGTTTGTGTATTGCATATTAGCTTGAGTTACTTTAATGATGAATTAAGCAGATAGACACCCTGTCGCGAATAAACCACAAGAACTTCATCAATCTGCTTGGCTTCTGTGAGGAGGAGGAACCTTTCACCAGGATGATGGTGCTCGAGTACGCGCCGAATGGGACACTTTATGAGAGTCTTCATGGTATATACAGAAACTGTTCTTGCTAATTCAACCACACCATCACCATTGAGCAGTACGTGTAGTGTAGCTCTCTAAATATTGTGCACAGAGTAACCAACAATTTTGGGAAAATGTCGCAGCAGAGGATTTTGAGCACATAGCTTGGCGAGGTAGGATGCGGATTATCATGGGACTAGCATACTGCATCCAGCACATGCATGAGCTCAACCCTCCTGTGGTGCACCCTGATCTGCAGTCTAGTTCCATACTGCTATCTGAAGATGGTGCTGCAAAGGTACATACTCCTGTCCAACTTCATTCATATTTTTACTCCCTGATGAGTTTTACCAAATTTTGAAACCTCTTGGTGCTAAATTAAACAACCATGCTGTTTAGCATCAGAGTGAAAGAACGACAACTTCATCTTCCAACCTGAGTTCTTCCTGCAGATCGTGGACATGAGCGTTTGGCATGAAGTGATTTCTGGAGCCAAAACGACAACAAATGGCGAGCTCGACCATCACCAAGAACAGGAGTCCGCTGGCCTAGCAGGGAATGTACATAGCTTCGGTGTTCTGCTGCTTGAAATCATCTCAGGGAAGCTTCCATTTCCATACCCCGGAAACGAGCGCTCCCTTGTGAGCTCGGTAATGACGACGCTATCCATGGAACATCATTTCTAATAACTGAAAAAACGTCTTGATTAATGAAAGATCAAATGATGACGTTATGTTTCTTCTTCTTCCTAGGCTCTGGAGTGCATAACCAACGATGACCGGAGTATAGCCTCCTCGCTCGACCCAACACTGGGCGATCACATTCACAGGGAAGATGAGCTAGCAGTCATCGGCGAGGTGATCCGGGCTTGCATCCAGAGCGACCCGAGGAACAGACCGAGCATGAGGAACGTCGCTGACAGGCTGAGAGAAGCCATAGGTATCTCGCCGGTCGCTGCGACGCCGAGGCTGTCTCCGCTCTGGTGGGCCGAGCTGGAGGTGCTTTCCACCGCGGAAGCAGGCTAACTGGCAAGAAAGAGCCCTGCAGGCTGTGTCTCTGTGCATACTGCATACTGCTATGCAACCTTTGTGCATCATCCAGCATCGTCGTCGTCAACTGGACAACTGCTGTGCGTGCAAATCTCCTGCTGTAAATGTGAAACTGCAGGAATAGTATTATTAGTAATAATTCTCGTTGGCCGACGCTTTCTACCACCCGTTGCATTGCATTGCACCATCATCATGTGTCTGAAAGTCTGAAACTCTGAAGGTGCTAGTGTTTTGGCAAGATGTACAAGTATCCTCGACGTCGAGGTACTAGTTCGTATCTTCCCGGGACAGGCACGAGGCATGCCAGGACGAAACAAGCTTGTACTGCTAAATGCCACGCCGATCGCCATGGCCGGCAGCCCGGAATATAAAAACCTGCATTATTGATACCTACCGGAAAGTAGAAACCTGATCTTGGGAGCACAGCACAGCACTAGCAGACAGCACTATCCACATTGTCTTTTCTCTCCCAAGATGAGGCCGGGCCGCCGAGAACACTCTCCTGTTTCCGGCAAAGTTGAGTGAACAGTGTAATACACACATGAACCAGTAGCTCGTCCGTCACCGTCACCTCGCGTCATCAAACAGCTGACCACTGGGACTGGGACCAACCAGTCGGCGCGTCGCTACACGTCTAGTAGACGGTAGACCCGTTGGCACGTCGGGCCACATGTCACCCCAGCCACCCGCCCGGCGTGACGGCGTCGCCGTCCAGAACCAGACGGCCAGTGCTCGGGGCACACATGGCCCCTGCATGCGCGCCACCTCGCGACACCTCATACGCCCGCAGCCGTCCGTTCGCCTCCGTTCCACGGCCCCGATGGCGCGGCCACACCCTATAAATCCCACCGCCCACGCGTGGCCGTCGTTCGTTGACACACCTCCCGCCGCGCGCCTGCCTGCCTGTGCGGCTGTGCCCCCCAGCTGGAGGCGGGCGCGGGAATGGAGCTGGAGGCTGCGTCACGGCGCTTCCACCTCTGGTTCCGCGGGCTGCGCTCGCTGCGCCGCGACCTGGCGTCGGCCCGGTGGTCAGACGACGCGGCGGCCCAGCTCCCCGCGCTGGTGGGCCGCTTCGTGGCCCACCTGGAGTCGTACTGCGCCGCGCGCGCCGACCTGGACCCGGTGTGGACGCTGTCGGCGCCGTGGGCCACCCCCGCGGAGCGCGGCGCCGCGTACTGGCTCGCCGGGTGGCGCCCCACCACGCTGGTCCACCTGCTCTACACCGAGTCCGGGCGCCGCCTCGAGGCGCAGCTGCCGGACCTCCTCCTCGGCGTGCGGTCGGGGAACCTGGGCGACCTCACCCCAGCGCAGCTGGCGCAGGTCGACGACCTGCAGCGCCGCACGGTGGCCGAGGAGGACGAGCTGGCGCGGGAGATGGCGCTCGTGCAGGAGGGCCACGGCGTCGTGCCGTCGGCGGACGGGTCCGGGCTCGACGTGGCCGGCCATGTGCGCAGGGTCAGGGACGTGCTGGAAAGGGCGGACGCGCTGCGGCTGCGCACCGTGAAGCGGGCGGTGGAGATACTGGAGCCGGCGCAGGCGGCCGAGCTGCTCGTCGCCGCCGCGGACCTGGAGATCGGCTTCCGGGCGTTCGGGCTCAAGCACGGGTCGGGCCGGGACTAATAACATGACATGTCCGGCCGAGCCCAGTTTTTTTCTCTCCACCATTTCGCCGAGTTGTACCCGGCTGGGCTTGGGGAGGGCATGAGAACATGAATAAAATGCAGTTTTTTTTTCTCCCACGATTTTGCCGAGTTGCAGCTTCTTGGGCTTAGGCTGCACGAGTACTGTTTACTGTAGCTACTACTACACAAGAGTCGCAGCCCAAGAAGTTGTAGTGAGCAGGTCTCCCTTTTCCTGCTGTTATTGGCTTGCTACGTGGGAACGCTTCGGGCGTGATTGGTACGCTGCTTCCACTCGTACATGGCCCATCGCATGCAGGAACGAAGTGATTGGTAGGCTGTTTTGCCTCTCGGGCCAGGCCAGCTGCATGCACGAGGCGACGCTGAGCCAGGCTCGCTGGAAACGCGGGTGAGTTCCGTTCCTACCGGGCCTGGCTGGCTTTGTGCAGCGCGAGCACGCGGATTGAGCCCGAGTGAGAGAGCTGGCGTGCAGGTACACTGTCCATGCTTTCCTATCCTGGCTGGATGCAGATGGAAGCCAATCACAGCCCGCATGCATGCGTCGGGCCTGGCCAAGCGGGGCCTGGCTCCGTCGTGCGAGCCAGGTTCAGCAGAGAAAGGAACCAATCACGCCCGTGATTGATGCTCAGTCGTTTGCTTGCGAGTTGTTGAACGAGTGCAGTGGCTCGCAGCGCATTCGCAATCATTTGCGCCCAAATGCTAATCAAGCCCTATTTGGGGATTCTCTTCCTGCAAAGGCAATGACCGATACAAGAGTAGGATTTAAATATATACCTTTTTTATATCACTACACAAAATCACTATGAGAAATGAGTAAGATCCTAACAGAGCTTTATAAAATCTCACCTCCGTCTTGTTCTTGACACATATCACCTACCATTGAAGAACACTCTCCCTTGAAAATTTTTACCTCATGTTCTAGATTGGTTCTAAATAAAATAAAAGTACTATTTACGCATATCATTACATTTATCAGGAAATATTTTATATTGCACCTATTTGATCCCATAAATGATGATGTTATTTATAATTTTGATCGAAGTTAAATTGATTTATTTGTGGATAAAGTCAAATTCATTTGATTTAGAATAAATCTCTTTGGACCGGAAGTGTCGGGTATCGATAGTAGGGATACTCAAAGCAAGTAAGTTAGCGCCCACGCTGACTTTCTCAGGTGGCTCGAGACGTATTAAAATGTCTCGCCCGACCCCAAGGCCGTGGGCTCCGTCTTGCCCGACCTCGAGGCCGCGGGCTTCGTCTCGCCCGACCCCTTGGGTGCGGGCTCCGTCTCGCCCTACCCTAAGGACGTGGGTTCCGTCTCGCCCAAGGCCACAGGCTCCGTCTCGCCCGACCTCGAGGCCGCGGACTCTGTCTCGCCCAACCCTCGAGTGCGGGCTCCGTCTCGCTCAAGGTCGCGGGCTCCGCCCCGCTTGACCTCGAGGACGCGGGTTCCATCTCGTCGGACGAGGACCCATACCGCCGCCATCCACTCTAGGTCCAAGCGTATGGGCCTGGGTCAAAACTCTGACGCTAGAGAAGAGGGTGGCACGCCTTGATGTAACCCTTAGCCATGACAGGCCATACCTAGGGATTCACATCAAGAACGGTGTCGGGCGGCATGCGGTGCTGTTCTGCCTAATCCTCGTACGGACACTAACAGGCGCGTCAGTTCACCACGACGTCCGCCGGGAAGGAGTGGAACACCATGACCGGTAGATGATGCCTGCGTATGGCGACCAGTGACGAACAGGGCCGTGACATGGAGCCGTCCCTGTTGACATCTATAGGATTGATGGGACCCGCATGAAGGAGAAGAAGGACCAGGCAACCCTAGAAGCCTTCTTCTCTCTCGTTCTTCTACTTTTCTCCTCTATAACCCACGCTTTCCCTTCATCTATAAAAGAGGAAGCAAGGTGCCCCATGGAGGGGGGATCTGAACACAAGTGCACGACACGAGCACACGGCTGAGCGGCAAGCGAGCTCTCAGCACCTGTTCATTCCTTCCACCAGAGACTTGAGATCCTCTCTCTCTCTCGCCTGTTTGTAACCCCTACTGCAAACCAAGTGCCGGTTACACGAGCAGCAACGAACTGGACATAGGGACGTTCTGCCCGAACCAATATAAACCCTTGTGTCCTCCGAGCACACCATCCGAGCCAAACGCGCAAATACAAATTTACTCATCGGTGGTCTAAAAACACTGACAGTTGGCACGCCAAATAGGGGCTTTTTGCGTGTCTCGACGTCCACATCAGGCCCTGGATGGCTAGTCACGATGTCAGCTGGATCTCGGGTGCGCACGTACGCTTCGGGAACCTGGACTTCATCGTTACGACGGAGGGAGAGTTGGCGCAGGTTCCCGCCACCGTCCAGCCTCTCCACTCCACCGGCCTCGACGCAATCACCGAGATGCTTGAGGAGCTACAGCTGCACGCACCGGAGGCCCACGCCCCCGGGAGCGACCAGCTCCTCGGCTTCGATTATGGACGGCTAGAGCGCTAGCTCGGCGTCTTCCTAGGACCCCGACTGTCTCGGGAGGACCTGCGCCACCTCACCTTCTCGTTTGCCAATGTCATGGCGTAGCTTGTCGGAGGAGAGCCGCTCTCCCCAGAATACCTCATCCAGAGCACCCTGACAACGCTCCCATTCGGTCTGCGCAACACCGCAGAGACCGTTTGCCACCTTATGGCACATGGCATGTCCCCATCCTCTACGAACGACGAGTTCGTGGGGATGACCAAATACGTCGTGGAATCTTTTCATGACCTTCTCATGGGAGAATCAGAGTCGCCCTCAAACTCTGACTCCAGCAGGGGGAGCCATCACCCCTCACAAGAATGTTTCATGGTAGGTACCCCTGAGGGATACTTCGAAAGCATGCACGAGGGATGGGCTACCCCAACAAACGACCTCGATGATGAGGTCGAGGGGGATGCAGGGCCCCACCTCACCTGCGGGTAGAGCAGCTGAGGGCGCGGCACCAAGAGCTCGAGGAAGCATGATTCCAGCTCGAGCAGGAACGCATGGAGCTCGAGCACCATGGAGATGGTGGGCGCACGCGCGTCGTGGCCCACGACATGAACCGAAGGATCATCGAGGATGACGAAGCCCTCCCGCACTGTAACACCCTCGATGTTACACTGTACAGTATTTTACTAAAACACTACATGAGCATCATATTTATGTGTAAATGCATGTAATATAGGGTGTAAAGCAATGTATGTAACTCAAAACGTTCATCGGAAACGCGAAACGAATGTTATATTTCATGTCGCGTTATATCACTTAGGGTTCTAAACGAATTTTTATTGAATGAGAATGCTATAGAACGCATAG